AACTGCGCTTAATGAATTGTGACTGTATTTGTAACCATTAAACCTACTATGCTGGTTGCAAAAAAAAATAATATATTTATGACTTTCAGTTAATCAACTTCAGAAGATAAAAAGTGAGATTTTTAAATCATTTGAAAGTACTAACAAGAGAGCCAAAGGTCTTTTGCTTGACTTCTGCAGGAACAGTACTTAAGTGGTCAGATATCCCTTTATATACTGTTTTAGCCAGAAAATGGGCAAGCACACACTTCTCTTAATAATGCTGGACCTGGAAGAACAAGCCTTATGCTTAGCAAAGCATGTGCTTGTTTCAGAGCACAGAAAACTAACTTTATTCAGATCCACAAATTTAACTAGTCCTGTTTTTACATTGCCTGGCATATGTGATGGACTGCCATGCTGACCAGGGTGGTAGGTACGTAAAGCATTGATTCCAATAGGCTGGTTTAGTATTCAACTAGAACCGGACAGAGAGATCAGTGTTCTGGAAAAGTATAACAAATGTAATCTCAGTACTAACACCCATGACATTTCCAGCAGTTATTGCCAACAACACTCTCAAGAGGAGACCAAGGAACCAACCCCTCCTTTCCAGTCAAGAATCTAGGACAGGGGCTTTGTCAAGCCACATGCTAAACTTGACCTAACAGGAGTGAGATGGGAGCTGCAGGGTTAGGTATGCCCTGTGCCTCTTCCTCCTTGGTTCTCATTAATCCTTCTCTTGCCCTTCCTCCTTCAGACAAGGAGACCCCAAGAAACCTGAGCTGCCCATGACCAGGGTGTGGCTCTACCCAGCTGGAAAGAAATGGCTCCCACCAAGGACCCTTTGCACATCTAAGAGATGGGCTCGGATGACACAGCACAGGGATCTCACCGACTGCTCCTGAGAGATGTGGCCCCAGAAATAAGAGAAACTGGCTCGCATGCTTGCGGGGCCCCAAGTGCCTTAAATAAGAATCTGCACAGGTAAAATCGTGCCACGGCAAAGTCTGTGACAGGAACATTCTCAAAGAATGAATTAGCACCCAGCCTCCACCCAGAGCAGCTCCGCCTGAACAACACTGAAGGTGCCTTCCCTAACATGCTAGGATACAGTGTAACATGCTAGGATACAGTGTAACATGCTAGGATACAGTGTAACATGCTAGGATACAGTGTAACAGCTTCCCTGCTTTATTTCTAGCTCTGCTACTATAAATTCTTTTACACACTACATTTTTAGCCCTAGTTCTAGCCCTCCTGATTTGTGGCAGTTTGATTGTATTAGACATCCCAACTACAAGTCAGAGTGATGCTTTTTAAACCCAAGGACTACGGAAGACCCAAGTCCCTCTCATTCATACTACAGGCCTACATTTCACAGACAAAAGTGTCTGAAATTGTTAGAAGAAGAAACAAAAATGTCTTTAAATTATCTGGTCCATTCTACAAGTCATACTATTTTTAAGTTAAAATCCTCTTTTTGTGTATTTAAAAAATAAAAATAAATTCAACTTATTAATCCAGCTCAAACCACGGTGACCAGTCCTCTCCCTGTGGCGTTTGAAGAAGATCACGCTGCAAGCGTGTCCAGTCTGATGTAACTGCATAGCTCCCTGCTGCACCTAGGAATACCCTGAGCTGTGAAGCAAACAGGAGGAACCATTTCCTGGCGAGGATGGAGACAGCAGAAGCCCCTGACTCTGCCCATGCAGCTGGGTCTGTAGGCTCCACTCCACAAACACAAAATCAATGTAAAAATTACATGGACAAGGCAAGGCCTTTGGCGCTGTTACGTCCCCTCACTGGACACACACCTGAAGTCTCAGAGCTCTCCTGGGGTTTCAGTGGAATAAAATTAGAGTCTAACATCTGCCACTATTAAGGAGAAACTCCACTTCCATCTCCCTCATGAAAACACCGAAGCCAACGAGCAGCAGCCGAGCCTTGACACGGTAATGGTTATTATCCAAATCAGCTATTTTTTTAAACAGTAAAATTAGCAAATCCTGCTTCCATAATAATTTGAGGGTTATCAGAGTAAATGTTTGATAAAATTCCAATTTGACTCACCTGGAAAAACTGCTGCTTATCTGAACATCCCGAAAAGAAAAAGTACGTTCCTGTAGCCATTTGCATCAGGTTCAGGGAACATCATCTTTTGAGTAGGCAGTAGCAGCTTTTCTAACCGAGCACAAAAGTAGCCTACCTTCAGTGCTCACCTGCATATTTCATTTAGACATTTCTTTTCGGGTTAAAACAATTGCATTTCTATTACTCATCAAAGAAATGAGCTGATTTAGTCCTGGTCATAAGGCAGAATCAACACAGGGAGGCTCCTCGTAGACAAAGCGCTCTGTGCACTCGGCACTGGAGAGCATGCTCTCCTTTCACAATGGAAGGTACTCCAAATACATAAATATAGGATAGATAAGTCACTCTTGTGCATGGGAAGGGCTGAATGTCTTACTGAGCACATTAGAAATGACATCCGTTTGTGCATCTGTAACGTAAAGGCTTATATGAACACACTGCATTTTATACACACCCCACCCGGAGAAACAGTATTTCCTTCTGAAGAGCCTGATCACTAGTCTGAGAAGTAAACAATTATCTCAGAAGTTACAAAATTCACCATGTAAAGGTCTGTGTTGAAGACTTTGCATTAGCTTTTCTGTTTCCTTTGAAAGCAGAAGAACAAAGCCTAAACTCAGTAGCCGCCCTTGTTGGCCAGATGTCCTGTTATGACACAGACAGTCTCCGGACCTTCATTCCTAAGGAGCCCCTGCATTCTGCATGTGTTTTCACAAAGAGGGCAGTGTAACATCTAAACTGAGTAACCAAGAAGAATTACAAAATGTTGTCGGAAGTAGAAGACATTAGTGACCAGAATAGCTGTTCAAGAGAAGAGAGTCACATGGTCACTGGGCTGCAGCCTCTACCTGGCTCCCTGAAGTTTCTTCAGCCACTAATAGGAAGAGTGGAAGTCTGGGGTATTCTTGAGACACTGCGAGACGGGAGACACTTAGCTGTTCACTGCCATTGCGGAAAGGTACACTTGAGGCAACGATGATTAAGACGCTTAAAAACACCACAGCACACCAAACAGACTCAAGAAGCCCAAGTGGTTCCTAAATCAGTAACTCAGCCCAAATGTGGGGAATCTCTACTGTCACCTAAGCAAGAGTCAAGCCACAGGTGGCAGGCACTTAGCAGAAGGCCACTGGGAAGGGTGGAGGTAGCACATGCAGGTAAATGACAGGTGACAAGCAGCATGAGATGCATGGAAAAGCTTTAATATTAATTTTTGTTTGTTTTATTTCATGGCTGACCTGACTATAATAATGTGCAACTAGCTCCTCCATTTTGGAGATTTGGAGAAAGTGCTTGGCCTTTGTAGGAAGACAGTTTATTATGTAATTGGACAGGCCAGGGTGGGGTGGGGGATGCAGGATCAGAAAGAAAGGCAAAATAATATGTATTTAAATAAGAGATCCTCATCATAATTAGACTAAGTAGTCAAAACAAGAATGTGCCGGGTGGGTGGGGTGGAGTGAGACAGGACATTTCTCCGTAAAGCGTAGTCTTGGCATGTAAATGAAGACATCTGAAGGAACACACAGGTTTGAAGCAGTTCTAACATTCTATCATAATTAGAAACATTTCAAGAGCCCTGTAATTTCCAATCAAAATTACAGTAATTTCCGATATGCAAGCCATGATTCATGACAGAATTTTACATTCCACGAGAGATGACGGTGGCCTGATGCGTGACATGCTGGGTACAGCGCTAACATAAACAACTCCGTTTAATGTTTAAACAGTACTTGATGTTTAGACTCTCACAATAAAAGAAACATATTATTGTAGAAATTATCACTTTGACAGTGATTGAAGGGTAAGGCAGGCATGCGGCCTATAAAGCTATAATTTTTTACAGTCCACAGCTTGAGTTTAATCATTTTTATATAACATTTCCAAGATATCCCTTAAGTATTCATCCGGCCTACAACTTAAACAGGAGCAACATGTTTCTGAAGTAAAACCCCAATTAAGAATCATTATTAATGCAGACCGAGTAAAAGTTTAGGAAAAGCCAAAAAGTATTATGCTATAAATTTCATGTTGTGAGTACTCTCAGAATTGTATATTCTATCACAAATCAACACCATCAGGATGTTAAATAAAAGGTCATCTAACGATTATGAAAAGAGAACTGTGTAATATTTCAAGTTACTAAAATCTTACCCAAGCCCTTGTGTGCCTCTAAGTCCTACCACAGTGTTACCAAGTCCTTTTGTGAAAGGGAAGAGAATCCTGTATTCTAAGCTTCTAAACCTACTCATGGCTCTCAAATGGCTAACAGACAACTGTGAGTCTATTCTAAAGGGGACTCTAGTAAACAGGTACCAACATAGCAGAATCTGATTTAAACAAGAGATCTGGTAAAGGGCTCTATGATCTAGCTATTGCTTTTAAATTTGCTTTGAGGAGGTCTGGGACTTCCAGTTTAACTCTATGAAGTCATCAGAGTTGGCCAAATTTTCTGAGTGTAGTGTAGTTCAATCTGTCTTCTGTACAACTACAGAAAAACGGAAATCACTAATATGCTCGAATGTATGTGGTTGTTTTAAAAGCTCCTGCACCATGGTAGGTAGACTAGCGGCAAAGGAAGCTGTATGATTCTTTTAGACTAAAACTGCAGGGCATCTGAGGAATAATGAGACAATAATAATGTACATGTTCTCTTATGAAGCAGCCTAGTAAGTGGTACCCCCGAGAGTTTACTTCTGCACAACTACTAACCACCTCAGAGCTCCCCTGAGAAACCCTTGGTCTAGGAGCAGCTGCTGGGGGCCAACCACCGCCATCCCAACACTGATGCTCAACAGAGTTCTCTACACAGTCCTGGAGGTCGCAACCTTCTGGTCCTGCCAATCCACACTGAATACAGACACGTCTTTCGTAGACTGTGCCACAGGCATGGCAGATCAACACTAATGCCTGATAGTGGTACTGACCTGGCTTTTTGTGGCAGCAACCTTTGCAAAGAGTGCTTGGGACACTTTAGCACGCTTCATTTCCTGCTGAATCTCATCATAAATGGAGGCATTGATGTTCATAGTATTGTTCTCTGGTTTCCCATTCCTCTCAGTGGCAAGAGTCGCTGTTTTCACCTACAAAACATTTTGAACATGGCTGTCATTTTTCATTAGCCAAATTGATTCAAAGCTATTCAGGCTGGGCATCCAAGCTGGGCACCGTGACTCCTTTTATGATCAAGGTGATCAACAGTGCGGTCATTCAACATTAGTTATTGTTCTGAGATCAGATTGCTTAAGTTAAGGACGTCACACTGTCACAGGTGATTGCATCTGTAATGTGATGGCAACTGCCAGATGACAGGAAAAATAATGCCATAAAGTAAGTTTTCTGGAAAAGAGAGGAGCTTCAAGGACTTGAAAACGCTGAACTCTCTCCCAATTGCCTCCCATTTCAGCCCCTAACAATGGAAATCCACAATTAGAACCATAATGCACAGTGTTGTCTTCGCTGGGTGCCCAGGGCTAATAGACAGTTACCTCCCCGATAGCTGTTAGATACCATGGCCTTTCTCATTTCAGACTTTTTAAAAATGCCTTTCTCTCTTATGTTTCATTTTAAAATCTTCCATAATAAAGCCATTTCCAGAACTGCATATTTAAATCTTCTGCCCATCCATGAACAGGTAGAAGGCCTTTGGCTCAATTATTATAAAGGCTGCTTGAATTCCGCACGTGATGTCCAAGCTGCCCTGTCTGTTTATTTCACCTTTTCCTGGCATTGTGCTGCGGAACGAATTCCTTTGGACTTACAGAACTATACAAAGAAGAAAATGTTTCTTAAATTGTAGTTACATTTCTGTAAGTTATACAAAATATATCATTACAAGTCTATTCAAAATATATAATTACTAAAAAATTTGTACCAAGCCTTTGATAATGGAGGTAAGCAGGAATAACTCAAAAAATGTTCTCCACCAACAAAGACTGGGGTTTGGAAACCAAACTTCTGCCTTAAAAGCTAATACTATCATTTTTAATTCCAATTGTAATTTTTATTATGCAGTTATATGAAACAGACTTGGACATCTTCTTATGAACAACAAGGGGAATTATTTTTCCTAGGAAACTAGCAAAAATGTGGTTGAAAACTTAGTTTGGAGGCAGGGCCACGCTTTTCAGCCAAGGAAAATCAGGAGTTCACTACCTGGGCCCTCCATAGAGACCACGGTTTCTCTAGAGAGTTATCGTCTTGCAAATAAACTTTGAATAACAGAAAAATAAAGCATGTTAAGATAAATGCACAGATAATACACGTCAAACTGTGGTGTTCCATATTAACTAAACTCTCTTCCCCAAAACACAGGGCATGAAAGTGAGCAGAGGCCACTCCAGAAGGAGATTAAAGAAAATACAGGCCCCGTGAAATGGACTTTTCCAGTCCTTGGAACTTCTAGTTGGACGCAGTTGTTTTCACCTGAATTACCTCCTGGAGACAGGTACACAGTAAGACCCCCTTCTCCGTCCCAGCCCCAGCAGCAGAAGGAAAGCAAGCATCCTATGGGGCTGTACAATGTTCAGAGTGGCTAAAACTGTCACCTGTTCTCCAAGAGATCTCTGGGGCTCCTTTTCCAGCTTTGGGTCTATACCAGCAAGGGGTACATTAAGATTGGAGGTCAGTAGGAACCCACAGGGCTGTGAAGCCCTAATCTGCTAAACATCACTTTAGGGGCAGAAGAGTCAACAGATTACGATAAATGGCCTACAAAGTTGCTTTGCTGAGATTTGAAACTTTGGTCTGGGGTGGTCTAGTTCTGTGGCAGAGGGATAGATCTGATCACCCCATGGGGTCCCTTCTAATACCTATTTTTCTCACTGCTTAAATGAAAGAAAAAACCATTTCAATTGCTTTGAAAATCGAATGTTATGGAAATGGAGGCCCCAAAGTCCATGACACTAGAAGAAAAACCAGTTCTATGGTAGCAAAGTGAGTAGCAACTGGAACAGCTCTGGTTTAAAAACTTGGGATTTCATCTGGTTTTTCAATTTTCACTCTTTTGTAAAAGTTAAATCGGAGAGTTTAAGTTTCTGTGATTCTGTTTCTAAAATTTTTGTTAGGTTTTCTATAAAGCAATTACAACTTGAACCAAGAAGCAAGAATCCTAAATAACAAAAAACAAGCAAATCCTCATTTCCTCGTTGGGGTGGGGTGGAGGAGGGGAGCAGCACTAGGAGAACAGAACAGAGAAAATGTCTAAAACATGCTTGGTGCCGGCTGCATTACTCAGTCAAAAGGTATTTAACAAAGCTCTTCGTGCCGGCCCAGATAGGCATCTTATCAGAGATAAGCCATTCGAATTCTAGAACCACATTTTTTCCTAAACACAAGTTATTGCTTAAGGGGAACTGACTTGGGCAGCTTTTCAAAATATGAAAGCTGAATTTTTCCCCAGGTAAAAAATGGAAACAAAAATCTTTTCTACTCCACTCTACTAAGTACTATTTTTGCTTAGTACAAAAAAAAATCTTCTTTAATCCTGGTTTAGCTTTTAATATTATATCATCCATTAAAATTCATAAAGTAGTTCATCCCAGGCAAAACAAACTCCTCTTCACTCTTCCCCACAAATAGCACAGGAGGTGAAGTAAATGCACTTGCAATCGGAATAGCTTTTATCAAGGTGGGCGCACTACTCCGTCATTACAGTGGCGCCAGGGAGTAGTCAGGAACGGGAGCTTCATCCACCCTCCCACGTAGGGGACAGGCGGCCGCACTGGGGCTGCTCTTCCTTTAACTAAAATTGTGCAGCAGAGCACACATTTTACATGAAAATTCTGATTCACTTCTTCACTGATTGCTGAATGCATCATACTCTTGGGTTTATAACACTAACACCCTTTGGTCTGGGTGGGTGAGTGAGCAGTCCCTGATGCCGGAGACGCTCCTGTAAGATAGGACTCTTACTACACAAAGTTAAAGTGTTATGCTGTTTTATGAAAACAGAGACTGATATTTGTTGGCTGGTTTATGTGTGAATGTATACCCTCTGAACCACAGCAGGTGTGATGATCTACCTTAAAACTGGAAACATTGTTATACAGAGGTTAAGTAACTTGCCTCCTGCTCCAGGCTAAGCTCTGAACGTGAGTTTGCTGAAATATGAACTTAGTCTCAAAGAACAGGGAGTTATGCGGCATATGTTCTTCTGTGGGGTCTTGTTACTCAGAAAACTTCTCAGAGATCAAGACGTGCTGGGCCTGCGTTCAGAAGCCCTTTGCTGAGTCTAGGTCACTTAGCTTGTCACTGCAGTCAGATAAACAGGTCATTTTTTTAAAATTTAATGTGTTGCTTAAAGGGTAAAATGTAACCAACTGACAGCGAGCACTGTTCTAACACTGAGGAAAAAGTAAGACACAGAGACACTCATCTCTGGATTTGGTTAGACAGTCAATAAAACCACACTAGGAAGAAACTGGAAGCATCTCACTGAGGAGTTACAGTGCCTACCCACTTCATACGTTCACCACTGGTCAACACTCTGACTACCAGCTTGGTTAGTCTTAACCCCCTTTGAGAACAAACAATACAGTGAAGGGTGTCTCAACCAGGAAACCTGAGACTCAGGATAAAGTAAATGATGTGTGTTTTCTATCCCCACGCAGCACCGCATATGGTGCCTCTATAAATACACACACAGGAAAGTACTGCATAGTATCTTATGGGTGTACGAAAAGAAATATCACTAAAGAACTGATACAACCTTGGCTCAGAAAACACTCAATGAATAAGGATTAGTGTGATCATATTTAGAAAATAAAATTTCCCAAATTCTACAAAATGAAAGCTGATTCAGCACTAAATTAAATAACTGGGCATACTAACAAGAAGATGGCCAGTGCTAAGTCATATTGTTATTTTAAAAAGTATTCTAAACACCTCAGAAAAAGAAAGGGTAAAGCCAGGCTAGTGCCCCCAGGTGGACAATCACCACCTGGATGGTTACTATAAAAAAGTAAGGGTATGAACACTGAGAGTTTTAAACTTCTTTATATAATAACCTACACAAGTCATATACATATTTACAGAGTTCCTAAATCTGTATTTTAGGAAGTATTACCAGTCAAACTCAGTAGCTATGAGTAGGCAGGCAGCTTACATATGAACATGGTGACCCTTCTCTCGCAAAACATCGCATCTTACCACAGTCTGCTCCTACAGATGTCAAGACAGACTGAGTTCCATTAAAAATGGATTTTAGAAATAATTTCTTTAGACTATTCTGTCACCAGTTCAAGGACCTCAATAAGTAGCTGGAGTCCTCAACTGGAGGATTCTGTGACAGCTTCACTACTTTCTCACCCCTGGATGGGCTTTTCCTACACCTCTATACTCAACTTCTGTACTCTGATGAAATACATGGACTTTTCGTTGACTATTGATGAGAAGAAATCATCAAAATCTGATTATGACATTATATTCCATCAAAACTGAATTTGTGTTCCATACTCAACTTTTTAAACAATTTTGGAAGTTGATCTTAGTGTAACAGGTTTGTACCTGCCACAAACTAAACATGGAAGGAAATACATCTGCTTGTGGATTTGAACTGTCATCTACTGGTTTACACTGAAAGTTCCTGTCTTGACTTCTTGCAGTAGTTACAGGGAGTTGAGTTAGGACTGACTTTCAAACAGGAATGCACAATAAAGTTAGCTAGAAGGTAGACTCATTTTTCCTTCCTAAAATATGGAACATTTTGAAGAAAATGAAAATGTGCCCATTTCTGGGAATTCAGAGAGAAATCTTTATCAGTCCCATTTAAAGCTGCCTTCAAGAATTGTATTAAACTTAATTATGAAAGATTACAAACGAGATGATATGTAATTGGTACCAGCTGCAGTCCGTATTGCAAAGCATAAATATAAATGAAATTTTTTATTTTTTATTTACTATTCTAATGGCAGTCGTCAAACTAGTGATAGTAACCAGGCCTTATTATTTCTGTTCTGAGGTGAACAGAATGCATCTGTAACAACAATAGTAGAGGTGGCTACGTCACTTCTTCAACCCTCAAGAACCCAAGACTTGGAACAACACAAGGCAGTTTTTCCCCCCTAATTAGGAGTGAACTGTTTTCCATCAAAATGAGTGATTTGGGATGAAATTCTCAAGAAAGTCTATGGAACTTTTAAAAATCTGTATCTATTTATCTAATTTCTTGCTGAGAGTAATCATTAACATTTTTCAGTACAGGAGAAAGAACGACGAGGAAGAGAAGGGGCACCTGGGGGGGACGGCTGGGCGGAGTGCTCAGCAGTGGGGCAGGACCCATGGCCGAGGCGGCGTTCAGGCTCCGTTCCCTCTCATCCTGGTATATCCGGTCTCTTTCCGCTTCTGGCAACTGTAAGAAGTTCTGCATAGCCCGAAGGTTTACCAGCAGAGACTGGGATGCAGTCTTGGGGTCCTCTTCCTTTCGGAGGATTTCAGAAAGCAGTCCCTGCAGGGGAGGAAAGACACGGGGTGAGCTTGCTCCTTGCTCTAGCCAGGGTATGGGGAGTGTCCTATGCCCTGCCTTCTTCATGCCCTTTAGAAAGTGAGCGGTCAGAGGCCTCGAGTCTCTATAGGAATATATTAGCTGCAGCTGAAGTGGTGGAGAAGAGAGCCTCAATTGTACCCTTGATTTTATTAAGCATCTGCTTTACATAGAGCAGAAACTGAAATGGCCTAATTGGTCTCCTTCCTTTGAGTAGCTTAACTTGCCGTGAAATCTTTCCCAGAGAGATGGTGGGGGAAGTTAAGAATAAGTGAACTCTCCACAGCACAACAGCATTGAACTGGGCAGTTCTCAAGCTGAGACAAAGGCACAGGGCGAACAAGAGCAGACACAACACCTTTTCTAGAGGAGCGAGCCAAACGTGTGAAGAAGGTACCAGAAAAGGAGCTGCAAACATCACTCAAGGCCACTAAGGCTTTTGTTTATACAGACAATATTCTGTTATTCCTTAATGTTGAAATAACAAAGTGCCACAGCTAGCCATGTGAATGTGCTGTTCAGAGGAAACAGACAACCACAAGTGATTTTAGAACGTTCTGTTACATACCAGTAGGTAACAGGTTGAAAAATTAACACAAAGCAATCCTGAAATACATAACCATTCTTCTACACTGTAAAATTCTGTTCCAGAATTTGACATATTGAAAAGAATATCATCAAATCACTTGAAACCAAAGATCACTATTAGTAACAGCAGAAACTTAGAAACTTCTCTTCAGATGTTTCTCTTCCCTCAGCAATAAAGTGGTAAAATACTTTTCTTTTTCTTCTGGGAGAATTTGTTTATTAAATGGTTGATTTCCTCCTAATGCTTTTGAACAGTGTGAAGAAGACGTACAAGCAAAGGCTGCTCTGAGCACATAGGACTCAATAGCTGTGTCTTCGATTTCAAGCCCATAGTTAACGTGTGGGACACCAAGATGCCCTGCTTCCTTTCCCTAGACACATCAGGAGCTGGCGGTAGTGGCAATCAAGACCTGTGCATTACCTGACAACCTGCCTCAACCCAACCCGTGGAAATGGTCAAACATGTACATTTGAGAGAAGGCAAAACAGACTCGCCAAAGTTTTTTTTTTTTTATTTTATTGAGAATAGGAAAAAAAAAAGTTTCCGCCTCCTCCCAGTCTCCCATTTCCCACCCCCACCCCCCCACCCACAACCCCCTCCCCCCACTCCTCTCCCCCACCCACTCCAATCCAAAGAGCAGTCATGGTTCCCTGCCCTGTGGAAAGTCCAAGGTCCTCCCCTCTCCGTCCATGTCTAGGAAGGTGAACATTCAAACTGGCTAGGCTCCCACCAAGCCGTATCATGAAGTAGGATCAAAACCCCTTGCCATTGACCTTGGCTTCTCATCAGTCCTCATTGTTCGCCATGATCAGAGAGTCCGGTTTTATCCCATGCTTTTTCAGTCACAGTCCAGCTGGCCTTGGTGAGCTCCCAATAGATCAGCCCCACTGTCTCAGTGGGTCGTCAAAGTTTTAATATTTGGGGATTGTTATGGTTTCTTGGAAGTATAAATCTGGTTTCTTCCAAATTTCTCAAGTCAGTGTGCACCACGTTGACTGATATAGCATGTGGGTACATGACACTGTCGCTGTCAAATAAATCACTTGATTTATAAGTTGATGTTTAAGGGGGAAAGAAACCTCCAACAAGCTCTGGGAAATTGAGTCAATCATAAATAAAGCATCTTTCAACAGGTCAATTGCAACCAAATCTGGACGTTCTATCTGAGATTTCACAAGAAATGCTATCGAAGAATTGAGGCCCTTGTCCTTTTGGCCATGATACTAACTAGTACCTGCAACTGTGTCTACTGAGAACAGTGCTCTATCAGCTGAACTCAGATCCAAACCAGCCATTTACACCATTCAGCTTACTTAACTTAGTTAACTGGGCCAACAAATTAGACTATTTCTGATGTGTCTTATAGAAATTAACACACAAATCAGGCACAAAGTCTGTGCCATTGCTCTTGCAAAATATTATATACTTAGAAAACAAACAAACAAACAGCGGCAGCAGAACCTTGGACGTCAGGCATGGGGACATGCCTGCAATCCCATGCCCGGAAGGCTGAGACAGCCACGACTATATAGTGACACTGTCTCAGAACACGAATAAATAAATAAAGGAAACAAACAAAAGATGCGGCTGGTAAGGCCATGTATAGCAATGGGATAGGGGTGCATAAGCAGACAGGAGCATTGAGTGCAAGCAAAACGTCACAGACTCCTCCAATGCAACAGGACCTTTTGTCACCGGAGCCCAATGCCTTACGCTGAAGTTGTTGATAAACACAAAGACAATTACGTGGCTATCCACTACAGAAATAATAAAGAAAAGACCATGAGAGTATATTCTAGAGGTCACGATGAACTATGACTAACTTTACCACATAATCAAGGCCATGGGCCCTTCCAGGCAAGGCACTTGGGCCTTAGACATCATTGCCTGGTGCTCTGTAAAACACCAGTCTGCAGGAGCCTACTAACTAGTCAGTGTATTAAACAACGAACCAGGGCAAAAGATACCCTGTAGATATTTAGGTTTGTCCTATACCAGAGTACTTGAAATAAAATGTCTAAATATCTCAAAAAACAAAAACAAAGGAACACCGTCCATCTCTATTAAATATACCCCACAGCAGAGAACTACTGTGAGATTACAAAAACAGAAGGCAGAAGCCCCTTCTTTCAAGTCCTGCGAGCACAGCACTAAGGAGAAAACCTGGTGTGAAGTCCAAGGAAACCTGAGTGAGTGCTCCCTCTGAGTATCATCCCGTGGAGGGGATGCAAGTCTCCTCCTGGACTGTGCCGATTCCCAACAGTGCTCAAAGAGCTGCACAGCAGTCAGTGTGGACTGTCCACTCGTTCAGAACTTTTTTTTTTTTTTTGGGCCCAGAGCTTTCAATGAGGGGAGTGCCCCCTGGTGGAATTGCCTGAAAATATTGTCAGAAGCTGTATGATTAGTGTTAATTTTAAAATAACTTAAGAGTAATGTAGAATAATCTGGATGCAGATGAGAACCGCTGGAGCCTGGATGCTAGAGTGCAGTTCTTGCCCTCTTCAGACTGCTGAGCGGTGATGAATTCAATAGGGATGTAGTTCCTTTTCCTGTTTTATAAAGGTCAAATATATGCAGCCATGCCAGGGAAGGTCAAGCCCACTTGTATTATTTCCTCATGACTGACTAATACAGATATCACTACCAATAACCCATCATAGTAAAGGAACAGAACACGAAGGCCTGCAACATCACAGAATTGGCTGAGGTTCTGAATTAAAGTGCAGCCATTTTGTGTGCTCTGGGTGCTGAATAAACTCACTGATCTTGACTGGGCAAAGTCATCAGTAACCTTGTTTCTAAAAAGAATTCAAAAACTTGTATGGTATGAAAGGGAGTTCCCAACATGTCATAAATATTAATTTTCCTGGAAGTTAGAAGCTGTCCTTCCTTGGGACTTCATATCTCACAAATGATTAGATGCGTGTCGTACACAGAAAAACATACAATTATTCTGCATTGTCACTGCTTAGTGGTGAAGTGAGAGCTCTGATTTTTTTCAATTAAAGAATTCATTTACTGGTAAATTCCTAAACCTCTCTTTTTCACATTCCAACAAGAGTTATACAAGTTATTACAAGTAAAATTCATTAGTAATTGTAAAAGAAAGAAAAAACCTTCAATAAATATTATCAGCACTTCCAAAAACTCATTATGAATTCTCTAAAACAGCAGATAAGTAAAAGAGACATCCAATCTGAACAAAACGCCTGCCTGGCCTCCAGCTTGTCTCCACTTTGAACATAATCACCGATTAAAATAGATTGTATCAGCACCGTGGAACTTCAAAGCCCTCAGAAAGAAAAAAGAAATTATTTGAGGAAGCCTCTCTCCTAAAGAGAAACACAGAATATTCTCCAGGCTGCCTGCCTGTTTGGGGAGTTCCTGATCACATGTCCAGGTGAAAGACTATTTCCAAACTCCACCTGCTCGTGGACTCATGCCAAGCAAGTTATAAGTAGACACATTCATCTCTATCCCTTGGTAGGCTCATCAAGAGCTGTCACGTCAGGTAATGGTACCTTTTTACCTTTTAGTCAATAGTGCTATGGACAGTGGACTTTTCTTAAATTACACTGAAGAATTATAGGAACACAGTAGCGATTTTTGTTATACTTAAGCAGGCGAATTTCTCTCCACCACATAATTCACAGAACTCAAATTCAATAAAACATTATATGATGGTCCATTACTGCTCTCAGTTTCGAATAATCCATCTTCATTCTTTATTTTACTGGAAAATAAAATGTGCCGAGGACAGGAGGGAGGAGGAAGAGGGAGAGGCCACTGAGCAGGACCAGAGCTGAACTCTGGGATTTTAGAAATACATTTTCTTGTATCACAGCCTTTAGATGACAGTATCCCAGGAAGGTGAATGGAAAGTGTAAGTGCGGACGCACTGCACCGGCACTCACTTCCGGGCACAGGTCTCCATCAGAAGACATCAGCAGATCTGAGCGAGTGGATGGCATGTGCTAAGAGCTACTCTCTTCAGGACCGAGAAAATCATGACCATTGTTCAGAAAGGGAAAATTCCCTAAAACAAGTAATTCTATAAATTTTACCATAAATTTTCAGAAATGGTAGACTTTTTTAACGTCTATGTTGACAGTCTTGAGAGGATTATCGTTTAATTTGGGAAGCCCTTTTAAGATGATGAGGGGATTCTCATGAGTTAAAACAGGAAATCCAGGGCTTAAAGCTACTCAGAGCTGTCAATGATTGAAATAATTCTCCGTTCCTAACCATGCCACCTATCACACCAATGCTTTACCGTGGTCTGCATAGAGCGCAGCACCTCCTCTACCCAAGCGACGATAAGGCCTGAGCCCGGGCTGGAAGCGCTCACTGAAATCAGTGCACCCCGAGCTGCGCCGTGGCTGCAGAGCTCCCGGCTACATATGCATCAGCATGTGTATTTTCGTACTCCACGCTCACACCCTACTCTCACTCTGCACCTGCTTTTATTGAAATGCATACACTCTGAAATAAACACACTACATGCATTCATATGAATGTATAATCACTGAACTAAATGCAGCTGCGTGTGGATGCTTGTATGTGATTTTTAAGTATGACCACTAAAAAAATACATACATGCTTTAGTGTGCAAAAGCTGGCTCTCAATGAACATCTAAATATCCACATGAAACAGCCCATATTTAAATAAATAAATGAATAAACAGGCAGTTCTAAATGAGGCCCAGTATCTCCCACTGAGAAATACCAATTACTACTACATAAAGGGTTAAAGTTAAACCTGTTTATCAACACATCTTTCGGGATAGTGATTTTCTTTCTCTAAATTTCCCATTTAAAATGTGGTACCTGGGTGAAACTATGCCATATTTCGATGCTCAGAAAACGACCACACTGATCCCCATGTGAACCACAGAGAACCGCCTTTTTGCAGACACTAATTCATGGAACAAGAGAAATGCACCACTTACTGTAATAAAACCTACAGATAACCAAAAAGGCTCTGTGTGAGAACCCAGGACAGACAGTGGGCATCACCCAGCCACAGTGAGGAAGTGTGCGGAGCCCTCCCTCATTCTTCACACTCACAAGACACACAGCCTTGTGCTTTAGCACACAACCATTTGCTCACTTTTTCAAGGGCTTATCGGTAAATCTATAGTCTGTGTCTGTGTCAGTGTGGTCTTTGTCTGAAGGCTTTAATTGAATTCAACAAACATTGGCCCAGGACTAAGCATTACGAGTAATTATTGTATTTACAAGTCAGAATTTCTAGAGGGTGGCCTTTGATTCACTGATTTTTTTTTATTATTGGCCCCAACTGAACTAAACAGTCATATTAAATTAGCTAGCTAATAAGGAACAGTTTTAAAGCTGTAAAGACATGGACTTCATGAAAATACCAAGTTTTAACCTAAGACAATCCAGTGTAAAAATCACTCTTTTAACACCAGAACAAGAGCGAAGAGAAAGGCCCGTGGAGAGCCTGGGAACAAGCTCTGTGAGACCCACCAGGTCTGACCCTCGGTCCAGCCAGGGCAGCCAAACCAAGTCACAGGGGGCACCCTCCCAGGCTCAGCAACTCTGCCAACAAGGAATAACACTAAATTATTTTTGTACCAGAATTTTATTCCTAGGATCATGTAATAAACAAATTTGAGTCAGGCAAAGGGGGGAGGAATAAACAAGCATGTAAAAACAAGAAAACTGAAAAGACACTATTGCCTCAAAGCTAAATGTTCTTCATATTTTAGTGCCTTGGCTAAAGATAAGCACCATATACATTATATTAGTCTCTAAACAAAACAAAGAAAAACTTACAAATACTAAAGATACTATCCTTGCAGAGAAGATTGTGCCTCACAGGAATTTGCCCAGGAGGTAAATGGTGTAACCTGAGGCATTTGTAGACCTCAAAAGAAGTCTAAATTGAATATTTAACTAAAGCTTACAGACCAACCCAGCACAAGGTCTGTTATACAGATAGTAGTGAAATGCCACCCAGCTACACCCATCCCCCACTATAGATGCCTAGTGATCTATAGTGTGATAAGGGATTTTATGGCACCCAAATATTTACTTTCTGGACTCACAACAAACAAATAAACTAACACAAAACCCCTGGTTTCTCTGGTATGAGGTGAAGTCTGTGTAAATTAACATGAGACTCTGGACAATAGGCAAAGGGCACCAGAAGGAGACGATCTTAGTGTGGTCAAGCCACACAATGTATACACAAAGAGCCATATAAAAATCACACTTTGGCTGGGCAGCAGAGGTGATGGCCCATGCCTTTAATCCCAGCACTAGGGAGGCAGAGGCAGGAGAATCTCTGTGAATTCAAGGCCAGCCTGGTCTACAGAGCAAGTTCTAGGATACACAGAGAAACCCTGTCTTAAACAAAACAAGAAAGAAAAGAAAGAAAGGAAGGACAGACAGAAAAAAAAGCAGACAGACTACACTTTGTAAAAAGCATATAACTCTACTACAAAAATGGGGGAAACCAAAGGAGGTGTGGAGAACAGGAGCAAATCACGGAAGAAGGCAAGCTAAGAAATGTCTGCAGAATTAAATTAAACCACTATTAAGCTGCACAGTATCAAAAAAGGTTGAAGAACTTCAACAAAACACATTAATATATTTAAGTTTGGCACGAACAGAAACACGGAAAAAGACCTAGGCTAGACACTTCACCTTCTGTCACTAACAGCTACCACCCACAACGAGAACACAGACAATGCCAGTGTGTGCGCTGGAAGGGGCACAGCAACAGGCACCACCACAGTGGTGACAGAGGTGAACGTGGAGGAGAAGAACATGAACACGGAAGCGAAGGAAGGAGGAGGAAGCAGAACAACACTGACCTGAGTTCTGTTGAAAGCCACGCGTGCAAACACTGCCTGGGAGATTCCCGCTCGTTTCAGCTCGTCCCGCACCCACTGGTAGATTTCCGAAGAGACCTCCGTGTTGGTTGAAACCTGCTGCTCCAAAGGCTTATTCATGGACCTACTGACAGGGGGAGGGTGGTTCAAGTACTGCTGGTTTAAGGACTGCTGGGCTAGGAGTCTGTTCACCGCATACTGCTGGTTAAGCAGCTGGGCCATCACCAGCTGCTGGTTGACCAGCTGAGGACTGATAGGTGTTGACACAAGCCCAGGGTGCAGGTTCGGAAGAGGGGTCCGGACAGAGGGCTGGCTGCCATGGGAGAGCTGTGCAGGAGATGGTGGCTGCTCAGCTGTGTTCCCTGGGACCGGCTGCTGGCCAAAGTTGACATGGTTGGTGCCTTGCTGGGACAGTTCAGACAGACTATCCATTTCAACTAAAGTAGACAAAAAGGAAAATCAAGTTCAGACAGCAATGAAGAAAATTTCTGATCACTTTCTAATAAAAGAAAGATAAAGAAATCAGCAAGCAAAGAGCACACTGAGGAGTAATGATGCCAAGATAATTTCAGGACACAACTTTCTGGCCATCATTGTGTTCTCCTCTGCAGACAATTTGATATGCTTTGTGCAGAACAACACTCCTTCAGCTGTTTTGAAATATATCTTAGAGCTAATGCAGTGGTTCTCAACCTGTGGGTCAAGACCTCCTTGGCAAACCTTTGTCGCCAAAATTATTTATGATTCATAACAGTAGCAAAATTACAGTTATGAAGTAGCAACAAAAATAATTTATGGTTGGGGATCACCACAATATGAGGAACTGTATTAAAAGGTCGAAGCATTAGGAAGGTTGAGAACCACCGATTTAAGACATAAAATCTACTATAAACACATGTTTTTTTTTTTTTTTTTTTTTGAGACAGGGTTTCTCTGTATAAACACATTTTTAATGTTTGCTTTGGAATCAAACTATTACTGGTTCTTAGTGGTGTTCATAGCCAACGGCTGTTTCTTTTAAGATGGCCTCAAAAACATTGCTCGCTTAATGGCACCAAGAAACCGTGAGCTAAGTTAAAAGCAAATAACTAAACTATGACTAAAAAACAATTAGAGAAAAAATTGCAAACACTTCTGTATTATATTAACTCTAGCAATCCAGGCAAAAGAGGGAAGTAGTCTACAGAACAAAGGTGGTCATAACAGCTGGCTGTCACTCTTGGCATCACTGGGCTTTGTTTCATTTAGGTCCAATCATGAATGCATAAGGATTTCAGCAAATATTTCTCAGGATAAAGCAAAGACGTAGAGCAGAGCAAGCCAGCATACCCAGTGTGGCTAAGGCTCCAATGCTTTTAATACAAGTGTGGTTCTCACCAGCTGCTAAGGATGGGGCAGAGAGCTGTCCTAGGACAATGGTGAGGCCGTCACAATTCTGCAATTTATTTCCACCTACCCAGAATGAATGTTTCTCCCTTGGCTAGAACACTTGTGTGGATTGGCTGAGAGTCAGCTCTAAGTGTGTCAAATATGGCATTGCTGCACAGGAGGGACTAGAGGGAACTGTGTGACAGAAACAGGAAAGCCTTTTCAACCGTCCACACCTCTCATGGGAAGGCTCGACTTGGACTTTAGTCACCATTTCTCTTTTCACTAAATATGCAGATTTTAAAATCAGAGGGACGGGTCATATTCCTATACCCCATGATATGTGCAGACTCTAAGAATGGGAAGAAACCTTCAGTTTCTACCAATGATATCAGCCCAAGTGGGCCATTCACATGGAACAGTAATTCAAGCAATTATTCCCAACTTGATGCATTGTCTTCATTACAGCCCTAAGCTATAAAAGCAAAGAATCTGTTTTGGTAGATGGATGGCCTTTCTTCAAATATTAAAAGCTAAAACATGCTCAAAATTCGGGTTTCTTGTCTCTGAGTCTTTAGGAAAAGTTATTACTGTTGTTACTATTAAATGAACAGAATGGTGATAAACAAAGATTTACAACAGGGCATATGGCTTTGTGTACGAAACACTCCATTCCTGTTTCCTTTCAAGATGTAGTACATATTTGGAAGGTACAGTATATGAAAGAAGGTACATCCACCTTAACCACGGTGGTTGCTCCCATGAGCACTAACTGATTCATGAAGAGAAAGCGCCAGTCTCCCACCGCTCAGCCACAGCGTGCAACTGTGACCAGTTGTTTTCCACCCCGCTCAGCTTGATGCATGCTCAGAGAGGGCACTATGCTGGCACTGAAAGAGCCTACCTGTGGGGTCTGGAGCCATAAAAACCACTCCAGCTCAATGGTGAAAACCAAAGAGTGTTTAGTGAGTCAAAGACAGTTGAATCCTGTTTAAAAGCTGGCGTGAAAACAGCCCCTTTCTCGTTTTTGCAAACAAAAGCAAAATTCCTTAAAGCATGGTTATGTCTGTGAGAAATCACAGCTGATATTAGTTATTCAAGGCCTGGTTAGGGCTTCACTGAGACATTACAAAATGACAGCTCTCCTCCTCACGCCGCGATTTCCTGCATGTCTGACAACCGAGTCAGTGTGGCTGATTTAAACACAAACATTTATTGAATTTAATTATCTCATTATACTCATACCCACTCCCCCACCCCCAAAGAAACATCCTAAATTGATCTCTAATTGGGCAATCAAAAGATCTGGCTTTCGATGTGACTTTGATAAACCCCCAAATGACATGCAATGGTATGCTGCCACGGCAAGGGGATGGGCTTTTGCCTTTTCTTTTCTTTTTTTTTTTTTTTTTTTTTTGCTTACCCATCATATCCTTTGTCTTCTTGAAATGTTTGTACCACCTTCCAAATTCTTGACATTTTGCTGCCGAGACATTTGCATAGTACGTGCTGTTCACAATGGAGGAGATCATGCTCTGTGTGGAGAGGGAAGAACATGTATAATACAGCATGCACAAGGTGGGTACCACAACCTCAGCTGTGGGAAGTTGTACCTGCTTTCAGTCTTTCTAAACCAACTCGGACCAAAGCTTCAGGTTCTTAGCTTCCATTAAGTGCATCATCAAACGCTTATTTAAGTAGAAGCAGTAGCCTACACACCAGCACTCTTTACCCATCCTTCATCCACACCATCCGTTCCCCAGTCAGATGATGCCAGGACTGAAATTTAGAAAGGTAGGGTATTTTGTAGTGCGGTGACTGAACCTGACATGTTTATGAGCCACGGACACCAGTTGGAAGCTGGAAGCTCGTCTGAAACATAGGCCAGGGCCTGAGCTCTGACGGCCTCAGCAACACCTGCCTCTCACCAACACCCCCAGCAAAGTCAGGCATGACCAAGCAGGAGAAATCATTTTTTATTTTTATGTTCACTGTATGGATTTCAGCTGCTGGTGAGCTAACAGTGCTCAGAGGTCACATGTAAGAGGAAAACTATCTCAAGAGCCTTTCTCAGAAGACGAGCATCTTCAGACTTGATTGCTGGCTTTATCTAGTAAAGCTTGAGTTGTGAATTTTAAATAACCAGAAAATGTTTAAATATATACATTTCGTGCTAATTAACATTTTAAGAGCCCCATTCACAAAAACAAGAGAGAAAGAAAAAGAAAGGAATGTCTCTTTGCCATTTTTCTCTTTAAAAAAAAGACCTTGAAGAGCTGGGCATGGTGATGTCTGCCCTTAACCCAGCACTCGGGAGGCGGGGCAGGCAGATCTCTGTGAGTCCTTGCCCAACCTGAACTTGTAAGTTTCAGTCCAGCTCACACCATACAGTGAGACACTGACTCAAACAAAAAGGCACGGACAAGAGTCAGCCTTCTAATAAATAAAAATGGAGACAATGATGTTAACGTATCACTAAGGTTTAAAGTAAAAAAATACACAACGACATTTCCGAAAAAAACAAAAGCCTATTTTCCCAGATAATTTTGGTTACCATAATTGCTGTCACTTAACTCCTGGCTCACCCACAGTTTCTAGTAGCTAAACTAACTCTCTGTTGAATCTGAAGAGTGAGACTGAAGCCCCAATCCTCCTGGTCCTGAGAGTAGAAACCTAAGAGCTAAAATTTCAGACCTGGTTGGCCTACAGAGAAACAGCTTACAGAAGGCTCCATTGTTGGGAGGCAACGAATAACCAGAAAAGCCAGTTTGGGGACAGTTTTATATCATTATCTTCTCTAAGCTACTTCAAATGTGAAGCTCTTTGGGCTATTATTAATTCTGACATCCATCATCACGTTAACTTTCTGTAATGTGTAAGTTTGGGGGTCCTCTAAAGAAGTAGGAGCAATGCACAGGCTGGAGTTGCATTATTTATGCAAAATACAGCTGTCTCTCCAATGAGGCACCATGATAGCTTTTTCTCCCCACACTTTCTACTTTATCGTCACTTTTACATTTTATTTCTCTAAAAAGACATTCTTAATGTGCTCGTGAAGCCCTGCCATTAATCCAATAGCTTGCAATTTCACCAAGAGCCTCCCCCAGTCCACAGTGCAAAAAGACACTTAGTAAGTTGCCAAACCCAGAGCCAGAGGATGACTACCTGACAGTTAGCAATCTGCCGGCTTCCATCTCACTTCCTCTCCCATAATAATGGATCAATAATGTTAGAGTCTAATAAAATGATTGAGATCACTGATAGATAACAATGATTCTACACATGGATGTCAGCTCGTGGTCTTCTACTCTGGCCCAACTTCTAAACAAATACTAATTTTTACCTAGACATTCTGACACTTTCCTATGTTAACAGAGCACAGCATGGAAGGTCACATATTTAAAAATAAATATACAGGCTTCCTAAATTCTGTAGAGGTTTTCAATAAGTACCCAGCCCACTTTGTCCCCTTAGTTCTACATATTACATTTGTTTTTTGCTGTACTGGCTGTTATGAAGGACACAAGAGGGGTCAGACATAGCCTCTGTCTAATAAGTTTGTGGCCTATTAGGAAGTAGGTGATGTACTAGATCGTTCCAATACAATGTGACTGTCTGCAGCAATGGTGGGGGAAAAAGGAGAATGCACAGTGTGAGAAAATACATTCTGAAATACTTTAATCAAGCTCATATGCAAAAGTGCTATGCAGTTCATTACTATCCATATGTGGAGAATAGCACCCATATGTGCCCATCATCAAGGCTTCCACTGCCCCCGCTTAGCCCTAATCTCTAGTGTGCGTCCTAGTCCTAAGGTGATTCTACCGTTTGGCAGAGGACCCTTTGTTCCCCCTTCACTTCCTTACTCCATCACTGGGCTTTTATTATTGGTAATGCAGATCTGTCAAAGACGCTTTCAGTGGGGCCATTGCAATGACAGAGCAGCAAAGTGCCTGCTGGGTCTGAGACAGTAGAGAACTGACTCCCAGACATTGTCCTGAACTCCTCACACAGCCTGATACACAACCATGCGTGCACACACACACACACACACACACACACACCAAAGAATTAGGATGCTTTAAATAACAGATACAATTTTCAAAATGATGTCTCTGTGCAGATGTGGGTGTGTGGACACCAGATTTCTTTCCTAATCTCGCCACCATATTTTCAGAGTCTCTCACTAAATCCAGAGCTCAAGGATTCAGCTGACTAGCTGGCCAGTTAGCCACAGGGGTTCTCCTGTTCCTCCTCTTAGTACTGGAATCACAAGCTGCTAGGCCAGGCTTTTTATGTATGTGCTGGGAATCCATGTCAAGTCTTCACGCATATGCACCATGCACATCACCACCCGAGACACCTATCCCCACAGAAATGGTCCTAGGGAAACTGAAGGATGCACAAATTAAATGTGGTAGCAAGTCAAGGGACAAGGGCCAACAGTTTTTTTTGTTCAACCTCTCAGCTCAGCGAAGCTGAGGTGCATTTCATAGCAAGTATCAGGAAGCCCTTCACCCCAGACATAGTCCCATGGCTCCTCCATTCTCCCTCAGGCTCTATGGCTCCAAATCTGCCAGGCCCTCCCACCTTCCCAAATCAAGTTGCAGGCTGGGCCACGGCAACTAGCACTTCCTTCACTGAGCATCTTCTAGACTTATCTCACAACAGCCTGGATGCTCAGCACAAGGCTGAACACAGTAGGGATGGGAGAAGGCCAAAGAAATAAGCAACTTCTTTGGGTCACTGGAACATCCTCCTCCTTTTGCCCTCCATCATCAAAGGCAGCAGTATTTTTGCCAAGTGAACTTCCAAAGCCCAATCTCTCAGCTACAAGCGCCTTTCTTCAATAATTTGCAAGAGATCCCCCTCCAGGTTTTTCAAAGCAACCCACAGATGTCTCCAAAGAGGCTGGGGTGGTTGCTGCTCTGCTCCCTTGGTATGTACTTATATGAGCACTTTCAAATACACAATTTCTGTGGCAAGTTTTCTAGTCAGTCAGTGGCCAGTACTGTAAAAACATCAACATTCGGGGAGTCAATTAATCCAACTGACTAAATTCTGATGCTAGAAATTCCGAGTTCAAATGTTGCTGCAGGGCACACCAACGAAAACACAGGCCGAGGATCCCAGTGTGGGGAGATACAAATTTAAAAGTTGGCAGAAATTGGCTGTGGGTCTCCTAACCCCTGTGTGACACGATACTCTCATCCTAGGAGCCAAGTTGTAAGCTTTCCTAAGATCCACAGAGCACATGTCTACTCCCTATGAGGAGCTTGGCTCTTTCCGAGTCTGCTAAAGTTCCGATCTGTAAGGATGCCATCTTCCCAGAAACCCCAGCCCTCTAGAAGGATACCATCTGCCACGGGCTGAGCCTCCTTTTCAGCCAAATACATTATTTATAACCTTTCTAATTGTGAAAAGGTAAGGGTGGAATTTTTCTAAAGCCTGACTTACATATTGTTGGAACATTCTGAACCTTTGCTCGAAAATCTGCAGGTCTCTCAATGTGAAAAACAGAAAAACACAAGGAACCGGTTGAAGTTACATAATTTTCCCAAATGTTATCTTCCAAACCCCTGCTAGGGAGTCACACACACTGTGGTGTATATCTATAGTGCACTGGAAAATGAGGGAAGGTGGCCTGATTGTTCCGCTTGGCCATCTTAGTGGCCAAGGGGACTTGTTTGGGAGAAGGGCAGCCTTCTCAAGGACAAGATTATCAACGGGGAAGGGGCTGCAATCTGATTACCCTTAAAACTGCTTTGTTGTGCCTTTAACAACCCCCCTCAAAGAAAAAAAAAACACCCCAAAACAATGCTAATCGGGTTATTCAATCATTTAAACCAAAACTGTTCATGCTTTTCTGCCAAATCAACCAACCACAGCAAAATCTGTTATCTCTGATTGCTCAGCTTCCAGTCAAAAAAACCAGTTAACCCCCACTATTCCAAAAGTTTTCCAAAATACCTAGAAACAGGGCAAGCTGGGGAAAGGAAGGAGGAGGCTAGGCCTGTTTTGCAGGGGTAGGCAGCTGCTCGGCTTTTGCATGTGACAAAGCTCTTGGGAGCCAGGCAGCTAGCAGCTCCCTGGTGCTTCTGAGGTCCCCAAGATGGCCTTGTGCTTCTGCAGGTCTCCTGGCTTTTTAAACAGGACTGCTGATGTCAGGATCCTAACTTGCTTGGGACTTGGGTCTAGGCTAAATGAGATGGGAAGAGACAGATGCAGCTTCTACAAAATGGTGGCTCAACCATGTTGAAAGCTTGCCGGTTCCTTCAGCAGACAGGGCAAGGGCTAGCACATCTTATTTACACAATTATCTAAATACGATTAAACAGCTGATGGACAAATATTAAACTGGAAAATGTATAGTCATTTCAGCTTAATGTAATCCTCTTTCTGTAAACACCCAAGATGATTTTTTTTCCAACCAGAACAGTCCTGACATCTCATAAGCCTAAGGGTGAATAGCAAGAGATTGTTTTTGATAGTTATAAATATTCAAAAGACATGCAGACCATCTGCTTTCATAATA